GCAGGCTCACTCTCCAGAGAAACAGTTTTCCTCTGGGCAAGGGGAAAGAGAGTAGGCAGAGCGGTGAGGCCCGGCTACCGGCCCCCGACACGCCGCCCGGGTCCGCATCGGGCCCAGCCCACCGCTCCGCACATGGCCTTGCCCCCGTCAGGCCTCACCCTCCTCCGGGTCGGCCTCAGGATCCGCCTCGCGCGGTCGCGGGTTCAACAACTGTTCCAGCTGCAGCGCCAGAGGCTGCGGCCCCGCCATGGTCACCGGGTCTCGCTCGGCGCCGCGCTGGTGAACGTCGCTCTCTCCCCTTGGGGGGGTCCTCTCTCCCGGAGCCCACCCCTCAGCACAACCAGGGACGCGCGGAGCCCGGCCAGCAACTTCCGGGAGGAGCGCGGGAGGGGGCGGGGTCTACGCGTCACCACGGGCGTTGCTAGGATGAAGGCGGAAGCGCCTTGAAGGCTGATGCGTCTGCGCGTGCGCGCACGCCGAGGGGGTGTGTTGGGCGGCGCGGGAGCGCGCGAGGGCACGTGGCCGCCTTTTGCTCTGAATCCGGACTGGAATGCGCGCCGCCCTTGTCCCCTTGCGTAAAGTATGCCCCAAGATTTGTCCGAGATTTGCTTACAAATAAAGTGTAGTGTAGCCGTGACCAGCGGTGGCTGATTTGGGAAGGAGGAGAAATAAAGGGTTAGCGTTTCGAGCCTCATGTGTGCTTTAGGGCACGCACAGACTGGTACCAAAAGCAGGTATGGCATTTCACAATTTAGAGGACTCTGGGGCCGGGCACACTCCTCTGACCCCGCGGCGGCCACGATTTGGAAATCCTGCCTCAGGGATCTGCATGTGTAAGTGTGCGGTGGACTGCTGACGTCTATATTAATAGGAATAATTAGATACCGCAATAACTGTGCGTAAAGATTGATTCCGTAGCTTCTCCAAGTAGCCTTGTCCGTGCAGGGAAAAGGGGGTGATGTGAGCATTACTATACTGCACACCCATCGGTATTGATATCCTTGCTGTTTAAAGATGAGGGCATACTCAGACACTTGAAACTGGTGCACAAATTCAGAAAAAGTTAGGTCTACATTTAGAGGGGCACGGGCAGACTCAAAATATAAAGACCTAATAGGGTCAATTTAATTACACCCAGGCACATGAAAAGATGGAATCCCTTTATATGCTGTTTTCTTCATCAAGCATTCCCTGACTGCCCGCTATGTGGCAGGCACTGCTAGATGAGATACAAAGATAAGTAAGTTAGATTCTCTCCTGGCGGTGATCAGCCTAGGAGGGCAGACAAACGTGTAAACAGAAACTGTAAAAAGGGATGATAAGGGTGCGTACAAAGTGGTCTATCCTTCCTGTATCTGTGTGAGGTCACCTGTAAAGACTTAGCCCCTAAACACAAACTGCCTCAAAAAGATCCAGAAAACAGGGTTAGGGGGTGCCCCATGCCCTTCTTGGGAACAGCCCAAGCCAGTTGGATCCTGCAGCTGAACAGCCTGGGGAACCCTCAGTTCTCCAGTGTCTCCTGTGGAACCCAAGGGAAGTGAGGGCCCCTGACTTCCCCAGTCTTCATATGCCCCCAGTGTTGAGAGCAATGAGAGACCTCTTGTCCCATGTCCCCTTCCTTGGTGGTTGCAGAGGGGAATGAGAACCCTCAGGGTAGATGCCCACAGACCTGGAAGGGAAAGAACTCCAGGCTAAGATGGGGCCACCCTAGGCAGGGGACTGAGGTGACAAAAACTGCTTTTTACCATCTGCAATAGAATTCAGTCTAGGAAACAGTTTTAAGACAAAAACAAACAAAAAACACATCCCCTGTAATTGCAGTCTGGTGCCTGTGTCTAGGGCCTTCACAGCAAAAGCAGGCTCTGCAGTCTGGGACAGCCATCACCCTGGGTTTCGAAGGACAAAAATGTTTCTCTCACCCAATATTTGGGAAACTACTTCCCTTCCTATTCTGGACCTTTTCCCTTCCTATTCTGGACACTAATAATGCTTAGAAATCCGGCCTTGGGGCAAACAAAAGGGAGAAAAGGAGGAGGGAGGTAAGGCAGAGCAGAGACCACCCCTAAGCTGTCATGCAAACAGGACACTCCTGGATGATTCTGGGCGGAAAATGCCTGCTTCCTACTCTCCAGTCTCTGTCCTGGTGTCCACTGACTTGGGGAGCCTTTTGTGTGTGTGGACCTGTCACACACATCCCAGGGTCCCCAAAATGCTTCCCCTGCTTTCTCACCCGATCCCGAGGGTAGGGAGGGGACTCCAGGAGTGGAGGGAAGAGGAAAGAGTTCTAGGACTTGAGGTGCAGCTGAGAGAAGTTGAGGCAGAGGGCAGAAGAGCAGCCTCCTAAATCCCCTCTCTGGGGGACCCTCCCTACTTGATTCTAGTTTCTTGGGAAGGGAGGAGGGGTTTCCTGACAGGGGTGGGGGTGGAGATGGAGGGGCCATTTCAAAGACTGAATCTCCTAGAAGAAATGAAAACCCTGACTGCTCTAGTGATGTGAGCAGGTGAGATGAGGGGTCCTCTCCAGAGAAGGTCAGAGGGTCTCCCAGTTCACAGTCCCTCTGCCTGTGGCAAAATGGCAGACAGATGTAGGAAGAGCAGAGGGGTGACACTGGATGCTACCCCCCTCCTCATTTTCCAACCGTCTGTTCACATGACCAGGAGTTTCAAGAGTTTGGGGGAATCCAGGTTCTTACCTGTCTCTCTTCTCTCTTCTCAGATGCTATCAAACCCCAGGTCCCAGGCCCCTGCCAGTGCTCATCCTGGCTCTCCACACATAGTCGTCCCCAACCTCGACATGCCTTAAGCAGTTCCCACTTTCTCCCAACCTGGAGAGAGGAGAGGTGGGTGAGCTTGGCTTTCCTCACCCAGGGCAGATGGCAGCTCCCAGCCGCTGGAACCCTGAGAGCAGGTGGCTAGAGGCACAGAGGTGGCAGCCTTAAGATGGCTGCGGAGAGAAACCAGGCTGCCAAGCCCGGGCCAGAGAGAAGACTGTGCTCCCGGGCGGGAAGGGACCGCCCCAGGGGCTCCCAGCGCTGCATGGGGATGCTGCAGCGCTTCCCTGCACCTCGGGGCCAGACATGGGCAGAACAGCTCTGATGGAGAACAGTCCCTGACATTTCTAGACCTCCTCGGCAGGCAGCTCCAAATTTGACTGCTAAACTTTGCCACCTGTTCAGGGATTCGTTAAGGTTCTGGGTACAGCTCCGAGGAGGAAAGATCGAACTGCTGCCACGGAGTCAGAGAAAGGAATTAAGTCCACACCGAACAACCTACTCTAAAACGCTTCTTATCAAGGACCAGATTCCACAATAAAGCTGCTAAATAATTCAGCAGGCTTGATAGGAAAATGCAGCTTCCCAATGAGCATACGTTCAGTTAAATGAATTTCTTTAAAGGGAACTGGCTATAATGAAGAAGTTGGCTATGATTTACTATATATAAACACTAAAAAAGGCAAAAACAAGCCAATCCAGTGATTGCATACAAAGCAGATAAAGAAATGTGCTGCATGCAGAGGCTAGGAGCTTCAAAAGTCTCCCCTGTATTTCATAAATTTGTATTTCTGAGAGAACACTGTCAGATTCCTCCCTGATATTCCTTCCCATTGGATAAGCTGTCATGTGGATGCAGAGAAATATTGCTTATTTTAAAGCCTTAGCAAGAAAGATACACTTGGTTGTGTCTTAATAAAATATGAAAATGACACTAGAAATTACATACCATTTAACATAAAACCTTTGTTTTTTAAAGCTAAGGAAATAAATAACCCGGACCAAAATCTAGGCAATATGAAAAAGAATTCTGGAACTCAAATAGTGTCTGATATTAAAACACACATACCTATTTCATAACAGATAAAATATTTAAATTCCTTCCATGTTTAATGAAGGCTTGGAAGGGATTTCACTACTTTTCAGAACGTACTGGCAACTCCCAGCTGAAATTTGATTTCTACATTGGTTATTTTTGCTCATCTTTCAGGGAAACGTAATATGTATCTTGTGCCAGGCAAAATAGTTTTCCTTCTGAGGAACTTCAAATGAAACAAATACTATAAAACAACTATTTCATATCAGTTCTGGGAAGGGGATTAAAGTATTTCATTTCTAGCTGTGCTGTACATTCATTTTACGTTATCTTTCAAACCACCAAATTAGAAAGCAGGATTATCTATGGGAAATGAATTGAAACTGAAAAGGACCCTCTCTAACTATCTATTTACAGGTAACTGACATTCACAAGTCCAGTTTTGCATGTTCAGAGGGGGCAGAGAGAGTGTATGGGGTCTCATGCCTAATCACAGACTGGGACAATTTTTAGCCATGGACTTGATTTCTAGTTCAAATTCTATATTAACTTCTCAGCAAACATCTCTTCAACTGTATCACCTAAGTCCACAGAATGCAAATCTATAGTCAATAACAGCAGGAAGGCATGGAGGAAAGGTTGGCTGGCATTAGCAAAGGGGTTCAACCACAGCCAAGGTAAAAACAGATTATCCCCCCCTTCTGCCTGCTTTTCTTCCTCCAGGCTTGTGAGGGGTCATTCAGCTCCCCACCACACCTTGATTCTAGTTTTTAAAAACATCAAATAACACACCAATTATCTAAACATCAGATTTTCTATTTTTATTAAAAACTCACAAATTTATTCAACATGTTTTCTTTCATACAGTGAATGGTCTAATATGCACTGGAGGTCACACAAGCTTAGGTTTATCAGAACAATAAAAGACATATGAGAAATTTAATATATAAAGAAAAAAGTAGCAGCTGTTGACTGCATATTTGACCATAAAATTTAAATATTTTGGACTTTTATTTTAAAGACACAAAAATAAAACCTGTGTGGGTCTATATAAGTCATATTAACAATTCCATGAATGTTCAACAGGACTAAAAATTACCAAAGATGTTTTTTTTAAACCTTGTAACACTTTTTTTTTAACACTTTCTCAGGTTGTGGTGCCAAGCACCATTACAGTATTTGTGCTATAATTATTCTATTTGGCAAGTGTCTGAATATCATGTTTTTTCTTTGCCTTGTGTAAACAACACCTTTTTACATACTAGCACAGTGAGCTGTGAGCCCTGCAAATCTGTCAGAACATCTACAGGAAAAGAAAATGAACAATTTTGGTTGATTGCTCAAAACGTTTTGTTTTGAACAAGAGGTTTCAAAACAGGATATATTAGTAAAACACTGAACTCCTGAATTTAAACGTTATACGTAAACAGTTGACTGTTTTTAATTCAATAGTCTTTTTTTTAATTTGTGTGTGTGTGAAGGTAGAATACTTTTCTTGTACAGCTGATGTTCAAGTCATTTTACTGAGAGGTCTGTCTGGAGACCATCCATCCTATGGAGTGTGTGTGTGTGTGTGTCTGTGTGTGTAGTTTTGTAAAGGTAGAAGAGTTGATACTGAGGGCTTTACATTTAGAATTTTGCAATTTTGGCAGAAACAAACAAACAAAAACCAAAAACCCAGATAGACAAAAAATATATATATATAGTCCCACCTGATGCACAGCAGGTCGGTGTTTCTGAAGCTATAAGAGTTTGTTGTCGCTGTTGCTGAACTCTGAGACAACACTAGTAGATTTCCCAGAGCCAGAACCCTCCTGGCTGGCCCGGGAGCGCCCCCGGCTGCTTCACCTCCCTCAAGCGGCTGCGAGCACAGCCTCCCTCCCCGCGGCTCCTGGTGTCATAACTGGCTGGCCGCCCCCGCGGCTGCCGTGGGTGTTTCTATGCTGCCTGCGGCCTGGCACTCACGCCCGCGGCGTCTGTCTAAGGATCCGGGTCCAGGGGGGAGGTGGGGCGAGGTCTGCATTTTCCTTCGGGAGCCCCATTTCTGCACCTTGCCGGCCAGCGCATGGATTCCGGTCCCACCTCCAGGCGGATTTGGATCCTATTTCGTGTCCCCCTTTTCCGTCCGGTCTCCCCAGACGGAAAATGGTCCCCGAGGCTGGAGGAAGTAGGGGGATGACTTCTTTTTTTTTCTTTTTTTCTATTTTTCTTAAATAAAGGTTCATTTCTGTACAACCACGAACTCCGCGGACCGTGCACGACCCCCGCTACCACACGGCCGCCTCGTTCATTTCAGGGGGGTGAGACAGGTGGTTCCCGTAGCTCGCCCCGCCGTTGACCGACAGCGACGAGAAGGGTGGGCTGGGCCCGAAGACTTCAGCCGACATTGAGTGGAGAGGCCCGGGCAAGCTGGGCTCGGGGCTGGGCGAGTCCCCGGGGGGATGCGCCAGGATGCGGTGAACCGCTGGCGCCCTCGCTGGACCGGGGTGGGTGGCCGGGCAGCGGGTGCTCCAGGCCGCCCAGGGGGGTCCCGGACGGCCCGGACGACGGCACGAAGGGCAGGTCCACCGGCGTCTGGGCCTGTGAGGACGGGGGGCCTTGCGGGAAGAAGTCGTAGTTGCCTCCGGGCCCGTAGTACTCGCTCTGGTAATCTGCGGAGCGCCGGGGAGGAGGTCAGGGCGGGGCCTGGGGCGGGGCGGGGTGACGGGGCGCGAAGGCGAGCTCGCGAGCCGGCTGGGAGGACAATGCGGGAACTGGCCTTCGGCGGGGCTCCCCTGCCAGGCTGGGAGCTCGGAGGAGGCTGGGTGCAAACACAGGAGATGCCCACCCCCCTCATACAGGGTCGGGAATTCGGTCCTGTTTCACTGCTTCCCCTTGATTTACTCTCCAGCCTTCACGCATCCCTTCCCCACTCTCCACTTTCCTAAAGAAAGCCGGAAGCGCTTCCGCGCTGCCACCCGCTTCCAACGATGCCAGCCCCGGCCTGCCCGCCCCCTACCCCTGGGCAACGCACCCACCTCCATAGAAGGAGAAGGGCCCGTTGGGGATGAGTTCGCCCGGCTCCAGGCGATCCACGAGCGGTCGCATCCGACGCGGACTGCGAAAGAAGGCATGGCGCCGGGCGCCCAGCGCGCTCAGCTGCTTCATCCTCCGTTCCTTGGAGCGTCGGTTCTGGAACCAGACCTGAAGCACACACGCCGTCGGAGGGTGAGGCCACGGAGACCCCACCCCCCGACTTCAGGTGGGCGGCCGGACCTGGCCCCTCACCCGAACACCACCTAGCCTAGCTCGGATTCCCGACTGGGTGTGTGTATGTGCCTGTGTGTGTGTGGTATATGGTGGGGGGTGGGGATGGTCTCTGAGTAGGACCGCGCAGGGTGGCCCTTGAGCCAATGGTGAACAGGATTCCCGACAGGGGAACCTGGGCAAGCCGCCTGCCCAACACGAGTCAGTTGGAGTTGTTTCTAACAGTTACACCGCCTCAATTAAAGCTTCTAGGGAGCTGTACACACAGACACTCAGCCTCTCCAAATAGTATCAGACACACAGCTTCCCTTTCACGGACTCTGGCAGCACCCTCCCCTACATGATAGTGACAGAGAACCAAACAGCCTCCTGTTGACACTCAGTCTCCCAAAGATAGTGACACCAAACTCCACAATGTCCTTTTCACACCCACGCACAATCTCCCAGTTCCACACATACTTATGCACAGCCGCTCACTGGTAGTGACACACACGCAACCTCGCGTTCACCTGCGAGCAAGACGGGACAGCTACTCAGAGGCAGAGGGCTTCCCCGGAGGGCGGCGGGTACACGTGTGCCCACGCACACTCAGCCTCCCAGGCACGTCCACTCGCACCCTCGCAGAGTCTCTAGGCACCCGACACCTAACCTTGGGCCAGAATCTCAGGCAGTCTTAACGGTGCACCGGCACAGCTGCCCAGAAGGACGCCTCCCGTCCCTATCCCACTCGGGACAGGCCGAGGCAGGGCTGACTCCCTCCCCAACCACCTCCCCTTCAAACCCAAACAGCCCACTTCTCTTAGGAGGGCAAGTCTCTGCTCTGGGGCCTTCTAAATTGGGTCAAGAGCCCTACAAAATTGGGGGTAGGGAGGCAGAGGGAGATCACGTTGTGCGAAACCAGCGGAGCCGATTAACTCCAGGTTAGGCACAGCGACCTCTCGGCTTCTTCCGAACAGGGGTGGTGCAGAAAAGAATTGCTCCCAATCCTCGCCACAGTGTCCGACAGTGTCCCCTCTCCAGTCTCATGTTCCCTGTCCCTCCTCCTCCACCACCGCTGTCTCCCGCGTTGGACTGGAAAGAGGAGGCGGCATAGGGATTTCCAGACGCTCTAGGAATCAGGCGGCGCTTCAAAGGTCGAGCCGGATAGGGGTGTGTCTGGGTCTCTCCCCTCCCTCTCCGCCAGCCTCCAGGGGCTCGCTCCGCTCCTCAAACTGGCCCCCACCCCTGCGCCGCCCGCCGGGTGCCTGCATGGAATTGCCAGGTGGGCCTGGCGGGGGGCGAGGGGACTGAGCGGCACGTCCGGGCCCTGACCTGGATGACGCGCATGTTGAGGCCAGTCTCCTGAGCCAGCTGCTCGCGGATGTGGCGCGTGGGCTTGGGCGTAGCAGCAAAGGCGGCCTTCAGCGTCTCCAGCTGTTTGGCTTTAATGGTGGTGCGCGGCCCTCTCCGCTTGGCCCCCAGGTTCTGGTCGTCGTTCTCATTGCTGCCACCTTCTTTGTCAGACACATTGGCGCTCTCCGAGTCCTTGGCGTCGTCCTGCGACGGGTCTTGGGAGTCCGGAGACAAACTGGGGTCACTGCCGGTGGTGGCTGGGTAGAGGGAAGGGACAGGTGAGCAGCGGCCTTAGCCGGCCTTCCTCCCCCAGGACCCGCCCGTCCCTAACAAGCCGGGAATTAGGGCCTCACCCGAGTGGAGGCTGTTCTCTTTGGCGACACTGCTGTTGCTTAGGTAATCCTCTTTGCAGACGAACTTGTTCTCATCGATGATGTAAAGCTCCTCGCCCGTGGAGAGCTGCTTGTTACACATCATACAGGTGAAGCAGTTCAGGTGAAACACTTTGCTCCGCGCTCTCCGCACCAGGTCGCTAGGGGAGATGCCCTGCGCGCAGCCCGCGCATTTGGTACCGAAACACCTGCAGGGAGGCGGGTTGGCGAGGACCAAGGAAAGACAGAGGCCGGGAGAAAGGCGGTAGAGAAAGAAATCGAAAGTGGAGGAAGAATATGAAGGGGGAAAAGAAGAGACACACACACACAAAAAGAAAAGAAAAGAAAGAGACAGATATCGATTAAGCAAGCAAGAAGGTAGAAGGAGAGGGCGCCAGGCACCAGAGGAAAGTCAGAGAGGAGATACACATGGTTAGAATCGTAGAGTGAGGAGCCCAAGCTGCCCCCACCCCTAACCTCACGCCCAGTGTTGTCCCAAAGGGAAAAAGCGCTGCTGAAGAAGGCGGCAAGTCGGCAAAGGGAAGGTGGAGAGAGGCACTTATTTTCCAATTAGATCCGGAGAACAAAATTAGATCTCCATGTAAGATGGAGCGCTGGCTTTTCTACGTATCGCCTCTCATTTGCCGAAAAAGAACCCGCGCACAGACTGGGTGTTGGCAAAGTCCAGTCAGGCCGAGGCTGAACAAACAGCCGCAGAGAGACCAGACGGCTGAAGGCAGGCCGTCTCCATGTTCAAGCCCAAAGCCCAGCAGGCTGGCATAAGCCAGAACAGTGTGGGGACTCTAGGTGCCGGCCGCGCTTCGCGGGAGCCAGGCCTCTGGGGCCCACTGGCAGCCGGCACCATTCGCCCCTCCCCGGCTCGGCTCCCGCCGGTAGCGGGAGACCTGGCACCGCCGGACGGCCGAGGCCCAGAAGCTCAGCCTGCGCTTCCTCTCGGCAATAGCAGCGGAGATTTGCTCCACGGTCCGCCCCAGCCAGAGCTGCGCATCCCGGGAGGCACTGGGGCAGTGCGTCCTGGGCTTCTGAGCAAAGCGACTCGGGTGATTTTGAATTCTCGCCCCGGCCCCTAGTTTGATCTGTTACCACAAACTCAGAGAAAAGCAGAGACCAAGTCAGCCAAGTAAACTGGGAGACTTCCAACCCTCCCAGGGGAATTTCGATTGGAATTTGCTCCAGGTCTCTGTTGATGTGTGTATGTGTGCATTTGGTGGCAAGGTAGTGAGTTTAAGAGGATACAATTAAAATGCTAAACGGTGGAAGGTTGTCGGGAGAAGTCTCCTGGCTCTGACCAACCGGGTCCGTTTTCTCCCCGAGCAAGTGGTGGGCAGTGCCTAGGAGAGCTCCGAGCGGAGCCTGCGCCTCAGAGCCGAGGTCGGCGTTGGGCGGAGGCCCAACCTCTAGCCAACCTGGGCAGCTGATGATGGTCTTCGCGGAGGCTGAAGCCTCCGGCACTTCACAGGTTACCGTGCAGCAGTGTGCGCGGGCCGGTGCTGGAAGGCCTATTCAGGTCTCTGGAAGACCCTGGGGCGTGCAGGCTACGCACCCAGGCCGAGCTCTTCCCCGCCGCTATCACGGGAGGCGACTCGGACACTCCATGCAAAAGGCTCTGCGGGTCCTGCCAAGACTTCTCGGAGACGGAAAAGGCAGTGGCATGGAGCTAGCCCAGGCTTCTAAGCTCAGCCTGGAGGACGAGCAAACCCAGGAGGCCCAGAGAATGCAGTTGCTGGCAGGCTCGGCGAGGGGAAAGACGGGAGCTGGGGCTACATCGCCTGAGGCTGAGATACCTCCTTCCAAGCTTGGAGGGGCTTCCGGCTCAGAGGCAGGCTCGGACTCCTTTCTCCCAAGCACGTGCAGACAAGCTTGGACACACCATTTCCAGGACGCAAGCAGGCCGCGTCCCGGGCGCCCAGCGCGCCAGCTGGCGAAGAGGCGGGCGCCCCCGGGACTTGGCTGCCCTCTCCAAAGGCAGCTCGTAACGCGGCCGCCGTGGCCACGCTGACCTCTGATCCGAAGCTGGCCGGGAAAGGCCCGCGGGGAAGGACCAGCAGAGACGCGCGAGGTAAGTACTCACCGGAAGAAGTCATTCTTGCAGTAGAGCTTGCCTTCCCGGGAGAAGCACTTCTCGGTCAGGTTGCATTTACATTCACAGCACTGGACGCACTTGACGTGCCAGGCCCTGTCCAGCACGTTCAAGAGGAAGCGGTCCAGGATGGGCCTTTTGCAGCCGGCACAGTGCACCATGGTCTTTGGTTTGATCGGGTGAGGCCCGGAGAGACAAGAACAGGTAGAGCCGAGGGGGTGACTCTCCAAGAGGACCGGCAGAACTCCCCAGCCCCTCCAAACAGGGGAGACCTGGCGGTGCAAACCGAAACCCGCACGGGAAAAATCAAAGAGAGAGAGGAGGCTGATGCGCGGCAGGCGGCTGGGTGGAGTGTGCAGCCCGGTAGTCCCAGGGCCCTGGGTCACAGCAGCGCCGCCGCAGCTCCTGGGGCGAGGAAGAGCCTCAGGCGGGCGAGAAAGCGACTCTTCTGCCCGGAGTCCGCAGAGGCGTGAAGTCGCCGAGAACAGCTACGGGAACGGAAATAAATAAATAAAACGGAGATGGAGAAGGAAGAGGACGACGGCGAGCTCGGGTTGCAGGGAAAGCGCCGCTGAGTTTTCTCGGGCTTGAGGTAGAGCTGTCAGAAGTCAAAGTGCATCTGCTTTTGTCGGGGTAAGAGGGCGGGTGTGTGTGTGCCGGGCTGCCCGCCACCGGAATTTCCCCTCCTCTTTTTATAAAAGAAAAGAACAAAACGAGTAGAGAACCTTTGGATCCTAAACTGCCGGCATCGCGCAGCGGGTCGGGACGCGCTGGGCGCCCGCGGTGGGCCTGTGGGAGGGGTCGGGGGCAGGCCGAGGGGGGAGGGAGGGAGGGGCGGGCAGGAGGAAGATCTCGTTGTTGATTGTTGTTGTTGCTTAGGTTTTGGAGAAATGTTTGTGTCAACGGAGAACGGAGAGGGACAACTCCGGGCGGACGCAGCCAGGTGCGCTCGCTCACTCCCTACCGCCTCAGCCCCGTCACCTCGGCCCGTGGCCTGCTTGGCGGCCTCCGTCTTCTCGAGATCGCCCTCCCTGCACCTGGACTCCTTCGGGGAAGAGGGATCGTCTGGCTCCTCACCGCGCCTGACCGTGCATCGTGGCTCCAGTCGCAACTCTCGGCCGTCTGCTCTCGCAGTCCCACATCGCTCGGCCCAAGCTCCGGCTGCCTGCGTCCAACCCCACAGTCTCTCGACTTTCTTTTCTTTTCCTTTCCCCCTCTTTTTTCGTTGTGGTGGCAAATCTGGGTTTCCTTTCTAGCCTCTTTCCTTCCTTCCTTCCTTTTTTCCCCTCCTTTTGCAGCGGGAGTAGTCTGGGGGAGGGGGAGTAGCTTGAAGAGCTTTTTTAGAAACGTCCTGATGCGGCGGCTACAGTTCTGTGCGGCTGGAACAGCTCGGCACGGGCCGCTGCTGTCGCCGCCCGGGCCGCGGTTCGATGCTGGCTGTCCCCGGACAAGCGTCCCTCTGTCCCTGGTCTCCTGGCCCAGTCCGCCGCCCCGGCGCGTCTCTCCCCAGCTCCGGCGGCTCGGTCACTGCTCCTGGCTGTTGGCTGTGCTCTGGAAGCCCCCTCGCCTTAATGCAGCGCCCGCCGACGTCACAGCGGCCTGCGACCAATCAGCGGCTCGTGGTCCCTCTGTAAACCATTCTGCATCCCCCGGCTGGGGAGAGTGCCGGGAGACCGCGTTTAGAGGATCAGTGGCGGCGGCAACCGTGGCCCGGCGCTGTGCGGGCGGCTGGCAGCGAGGTGCCCGGGTTCCCTCCTGCTCCGGTAAGGCGTCGGTTTCGGTGGAAGAGACTGAGAGAGTATAGGAGTAGGCGCGGGCAGAAGACAGAGTTCTACTGGAGGGTGGGAGTAACCTAAGATCGAGCCTTGTTGAAGGCTAGGGTGCAGCCAGGTCCCCGAGCCTCGGCGCCCCTGGTGCACTCTTCGGCTTTGAAATTCAGCGGGCGCGGGCTCCCCGCCCCCCCTTGCTTACTTGCTTGCTTGCTGTCTTGGCCTAGAAGTTTGCCCCAGGCACTGCGCGTGTCCTTCGTGGAACGGTGGAGGGGGGGGGGAGCGCTTGGCAGCAGATTCTCCCTCCTTGTGCCTCCTTCTGTGCCCCCTCCCCCAATCCATCCAAAGTCCACTGGGTCCGGGGCTCTGAGAGATCTGGGTGTCTGTTTCCCGCAGCGCGGTCTTGAAAAGTTGATTCCGGCGGTTTCCTGGTGGGGGCGGGGGAGACCGGAGGCGCGGCGACGGGGAGGGGGTAAGGAGTGGGTGGGAAAGAGCCTCGGGTGAGGAGTTGCAACCCCAGCGAGAAGTTGTGAGAAAACTGTGATCCGGAGACACCTTTTACAACAAAACAGACGAGTAGGCGGGAAGCTGCGGGGCAATAGTGTTGGTAGGGGGAGGGGTGTTGGGGGGATAGTTGGATAGTGGAGGTGGGAAGGGGGGACGTCCCGGGGGCTCCACCGGGAGGTTGCAGAGGATTGTGGCGTGTAGGGCACCGGCAGAGTGGGCCGGGCCTCCTGGCCTCCCATATACTAGGCTCGGCTGGCACCACCTTCCCCAGACAACCGCAGTGCATAACCTCAGGTAGCTCACTTCTCCGGGAGCCCACATCTCCCTAATTCTCCTCGAGTATAAACTAGGGATCACTGCCCACGGGAGATGGGGGTGGGGGCAGATTATCCTAGACCTGGAGGTCGGGTCTGGGTCCTGAGAATCTTAGCCTCTAAGAATCACTCTAGCTAGTTCCACGGCCCACGCCAGTCAAACACCAGGTTGTTTCGACAGCACCATTTCTATGCTTAACCGAGATTTCTCTCCAAGTGAAACCTGATGTTGGCAGGGCTGGGCAATTCCGCTTCTGCTCTTTGCTCTTGTTTTTTGGGAGAGGGGGTTGTTAGGAAGGAGCATTCAGCCTTAGTGTGGAAAGAAATAAGATTGGACAGCCAGCCAAGTCTAGCCAGTATTTTGGGAACGGCCTTTTGACCCCACTGGCAGTGCTGGGCTCCGACATCCCACACAGGGCCGGAGCTAAGTTTGGGGAAATGAGCCCTGAAATGCAATTGTACTGTACCTGGGCGGGCAAGGAATCCAGTTCTTTGCAAATGAAATACCCTCTTCGAACGAACCGGGAAGCCGCTCCAGCGAATTTGGTTTGCGCACTGTGGGACTGGGATTTTAGGGCTCTGCCAACGCTACTTTCCTTCCTCCAAGGCTCCGCCCGCACTGTCCTGCAATCGCAAGGCCCGTCAGCAGCCCCTTGCCTTGCCGCCCGGGTCACATTTTCATTGGAAGCCGAAGCCTAGGCCGGCAGTGCGCCTCTTTGGCGCTCCGCCCATCTTGACCTCTGGGTGCGGGAGCCACTCACGCCTTCTCCGCACCCCCTCTACGCACACCTGGGCTTGGGCTCCCTGCTGCTGGGAGGGCTGTGCTGGGATCGGTTATCTCTCTCGAATAAACCCCCTCCTCGGATCTCTCCCAGGCCGGGACTCAGGGTAGAGTTGGGGGTGGGGGAGGGCGGTTCTCCAACCCAGCAGGCTGGCTTCGCGGGATCCGACTTGCCTTTGTGCTCCTCCAGCTCCTTCCAGGAACCAGCCGACCCGTACCCGGTACTCCAGGACCCAGGGAAGCGCTAAGAGCTGCGTGGCGCGGGGTCCTCGCCTTCTCCACCCTGACCCTGAGGTGCCTCCCAGCCCGCTGTGCTGGGTGAGGCCCGAGGGAGGGGTAGTCCTGTGAGCAGTCCCCATGCTCTCCCCACCCCCCTACACCCCCAGCTGTCTTGGTTCTCGCCGCTAGCGCCCTCAACCCAACCGCCCCTTTCTGGAATCTATAGCGGACCCTGTCCCGAGTGGCTCGCTCCCGCCCCCGCCCCAGCTGGGCTCCTTCTCATGCAAAGCAGAGGGGCCCCGGGGGTGGGGGGCGGCCGGCATGGACCTACGGGGCGACAGCTGGACCCGGCTGCCGACCCTTTCTGAACCCAAGGCCGCCGCCTCCTTTCGGGTGGGCTGAAGGAGGTTGCTGCACTGGCTTGGGGGTGCAGGGACCTCAACTTTGGGAAAAGAGGGCCCCGCTCTGCAGGCGAATCAGCTTGGTAGGGGCGTTGAGGGCGAGGGCAAGATGCAGGTTCTGGGGCAACGGGCTCTGCTTGTCCCCGTATCCAGATGGCTCTGTATACAGGTCTGCAGGAACCAACCCCGGAGGCTACCAGGGGGTCGGGGAGAGCAAATCGAGGCGTGCCTCCTGGCTCCTGATGCTAGAAATTTAAGCCCAGATTTAACTCCTCCAAGGCTACAACACACTAGATTTATTTTTTTCCCCATTTCCATTGAGCTTTTATTTTAAAATGTAATCGGTCACAGAGACATGGAGAAAAAACTGACCCAGCTTTCCAAATTCACCGTCTCCGAAGCCTCTCCACTCAGCTCTGCTTTTAAACCCGTGTCTGCGTGGTGAAGAGCACCGGCCTTGCCTCCTCACCTTCACCGTCACACTTAGACTGCCTGCGTCCTGAAGTACACAAGCGCTTTCTACTCAAAGCTCTTCCAGTCTCCCAGATCCACAACCACGCACGCCGCACCGCCTCAGGTGGTGTAAATTCTGGGCCAGGTGCCGTCAGGGTCAATTTTGCCGCCAAGTCATGGCTCACTGGCCACAGACGTCTCTGAAGCTCATCCCAGGCACTCTTGGAAAAGGCCCTAGAGGGCCCAAGGAAGCGGCTTTCACAACACAGGTTTCTCTTTTGATATTCAACTTGAGGAACAGCCTGAGAAGAGGGACCTGGCCTGGGAATGCAGGATGGCGGGGGTTGTACCAGCTCTTCCCAGCTGCCCTGCAGCTGGGGCGCTGAAGGCACCCTCTCCCACACCGTCTTTCTTCCCACCACCTTCTTGATTCCAAGCCCCACCTCACTGGGCTCCCCAACGTTCCAGAGTGGCTTGTGAGGCCCAAGGACCCAGCTTGCCAGCACAGTCGGCTGCTGTTGATCCCGACCATGGCCACTGCCCCTGGATGCTCCCCTCCTCGCCCACGGCGCTCCTGTCCAGCCCACGGTCCCCAGAAACGGGCGGTGAGGCCGTCAAAGGGGGCGCCTGGAACGGAGCAGGGTCCAGGTGGATACCTGCGCCCGCCCCGCTGAAGTGAGGCGCAGCCAGACACCGCCGTCCAGGAAGAGGCGGAGGGAAGCGAGTCGGACCCGTCCGGGTCCTTGCCAGTCCCAGTGGCAACGCAGACTAGAAAACTCCGCACAGACTCGGTGAGGACGCTACACGTGCGGCGCAGGAAACTGGCTTGCCTCCCTCAGAACTGATCGGATCTCTCCCGCTCACTCCTTGCCCTCTCTCATTTACTCCTGCTGCGGGGTGCCTTATTTTCCCTCCCTCACTCTTCCCTGCAAATGACCTACTTGTGTGAACCACTTTAGAGTTTTTGTCAGTATCTGTCCTGAAGCACAGAGTAAGGGGGGTTGGTATTGATCTCCTTTTTCCCAGGGCAGAAACCAAAGTTAGGGGGTTTGCCCGAGATTCCTCAGTCAGTGCGCTACTGCAGGCGAGAAGTTTGGGGGGGCTTGTCACCCTGCTCCTTTGTGTATTTTGTCCCAGCCACTTTTTTTCCAAGGCCTGGGTCAGGGGAGGCGGGGACCTCGAGTCCGGGAAAGGGCAGCATCCGGCCAGGCCTTCACGGTGTGCGCTTGGGCTGCGTAAACAACGCCGGCTTCCCACGAAGGCTGGAGGCACCCTGGGCACGGAGGCGCGGAGGGAGGTCGAGCGTGGTGATCCCAGATGTAAGTCAGCACCGCGCCGCGCAGCAAAGACAGGACGTGGGTAGTCTAGGAAGGGAGAAGTTGAGCCGGAGAAGGCAGGACACAGAGAAGAGAGACAGAAGGGAGGGGAGAGGACTGGGATCAGCGAATGAGGGCAGAAACCCCCCAAAGAAGAGAAGGAGTGCCTGAAAGTAAGCGGGGAAGAGGAGGAAAGACATACTGGGGGAAACACGTGGAGTAGTGGAGGAAAAGAGAATCAGAAAGACACCCAGCAGCAGCAGCAGCAGCAACAAAAAAGCGGCGGGGACAGGCGTGGCTCCCAGGACCCTGCAGGTGCCCAGAGCGCGGCTGGCGGGACTGGAGTGTGTGCGGTGTGTGACAGCCCCGATCCCGATGGCAGGCGGGAGAAAAGGAGGCGGCGTGTTTGGTGCGAGACTCAGCGCCCGTGGAAAAGCGAGTGAGCGGCTCTGGGCAGGAATCCAACAAATAAATAAAACGTCTAAGACGGCGTGACAACAATGTGTATTTGGGTGCGTGCCCGTGTTCCTCTGTCTGAACACACTCACACCCGGTAAGGAAGACAAACGGGGCTCGTGCCTCCCAGTAATTAATCCTCTCACTAATTGACTCTCTCCCCTTACCTAATGGCGGTGGTCACTGCTGATATCTGGAGAGAGATCTGGTGGAGAAAGAGAGTGAGAGGGTAGGGGAGACCCCAAAGCGAACCACCTTTGGGGCTGGAATTGAGTTCTCCTTGGACTTGGCAGCTTTAAGCCGCTCACCCCTTTGAGGGTGGGGCCCAGAGTTCAACAGATGTTGCGACCTCACCAGACCCTCCATGTTTGTATTAATAAAGATCGCCTCAGATTAGGGGTGACCAGGAGCTCCCCCCACCACAGGCCCTTCATCAGTCTCAGAAGCTGAAAGCCCTCACTGCTCCTCTACTGGACATGGCTGAACTCCAGGCAACACCAAAGCTCCCCCTCCCCTGCTGTCCCCCCAGGAACTCAGATCCTGCACCCCCTTCTTTTAACCACTACTTACTCTTCCCCAGACCTGGCATGTGTCCTGCAGCCCCTCACAGGGCAGATCAGGTTTTGAATGAGTTAGGAAGCAGCAGAAGGGATGAGGTCAGGGCAAGGATGGGAAGACGCTTCTGGAGATAAACCACTCAGACACTTAGGTAGAGGGACACAGAAGCTCAGAGGGGAGCCACGGGTACCTGGCAGGAGTGAGTCCTCTGGGGGGACGCTGTGGGAGAGAGTGTCAAGGGTGCAGGAGGGCAGGCAGGTGGCCACGTCGGTGACTGTGAGGTGTACAGTTCCGTCTTTCTCTCTGTGTGAACGTGGTGGGGTGTGCCCTATTCTTTCCCCCTATAGCACCCTCAGTTCTCAGGACTGGGGAAGGAGGCAGAGAAGAGAGGGTTGCACTGGGATCAAACCACTGTTAGCTGACTTGGCAGAAAGGGGCCCAAAGCCCACAGTCTGTCAGATGATGCAGCTTTGAGGCTTGGGGTTTGGGAGGTGAATTTCAACCCTCACCCCTTCGAGGTGGCAGCTTTGCTCTGCTGGCCCCTCAGAGGCTAAATAAATAAATTGCTGAGATCCATAAACCACCCAGTCTAGGGAGAGGAAGCGGGGAGGGGAGGACAACTCAGAAAAAAAAATCCACACCCTCCACCCCCACCACTAAACACATTTTTAATTGTCCCTTGGGAACATTTGTACATTTGACCAAAGCAAATCCCCAAGCAGTAACAGCAAAATTCGTCACAGGGGCTGGCAGTCCGGAGAGAGTTGGGGGTCTGGAGAAGCGAGAAGGGGGAGAGATGACGGGCGTGCTGGAGAAGGTGAGAAACTTGGCTTTTCTTTCCCTGTCTCCGTCGTGCTTTAGAAAGAGAGTGAGCAAGAGGAATAAAGTTCCAGAGGAAAGAAAGAGAAGGGCATATAAAAGGCAAATCCAAACCAGAAAGAAAAGAAAGTGAGGAAGACAGAAAAAGATGGGGTGGGGGGAAGAGACGCTAATAAAACAGGGTGAAGGCGGCCCCAGGAGGCTGGGCCTCGTCCCAAACCATCCGTCTTCATTGTCTCCGTGTGTGCAAAGGCAACTCCGGCATAAGGAAAAGCCACTATTGGAGCCGCGGCTTTATTTTATATCCTATACATCAGGAGGGAGGCAAAGCTTTATTTTCGCCAAGAGACAGATATTTTATTTCTCTCTTACGGTTTTATGTGTGAGAGATGTCAGGTTGCCACAATGGATGGCTAATGCATAGGCAAGAGGAAGCCGTGTTGGCATGCTGTGTGTCATGGGGTCTTGGGGGGGCGAGCGGGCCTGGGATTTAGGGCTGATGGGACACTCTGGGGGATTTCGGCTAAAACATCTCTCTTCATAAATCCAGAAGCATGGTCAGCTCAACAGGGAGAAGAAGGAGTTTTAGAGGGAAAAGAGTTGGGCTTAGTAATAAACGAACACACAAAGGAACCGCTTACCTTCCAGGAGGCTCAGGCAACAGGGCAAGGCGGCCCTGTGGAAATGCCAAGACCCACGTCAAAATACACATGGACCAAAATACACACGGGCCGTTCACAGGAAAGTATTTTCCTACAGAATCCAATGTTCATTTGCTCCCTTTTTCCATTTTATTATTTTCGCCCTTTTTCTCCTTTCATCAGAATCTTTTTTTCACCTCCTCAGAGTCGGTTGAGGGGGGAGTGCTATTAATTTGCAAATCATCCGATCTGTGAAAGGATCAAGATGCCTGTTTTTTCACTGCTAAATCCAATGTCTTGAGTGGACACACGTATGCACACACAATCCCAGGAAGCTGTGAATCCTGGGAGTGTAGGTGCCAGATTTGAATCCAAGAAAACCAACCCCCATCCTCTCCCCTGGGACCTGTGGCCAATTTAAGCCTTAGATCCCAAACTGCATAATGTTCATATTTTAAACCTGGAGAGAAGGAGGAGATGAGGGGACAAAGAGACAGAGGGAAGTGTGTTCATTAACATATTCCGTTCAGAACTTAAGACTAGTCTGCCTCACTCCCAAATCCCCCAAACCACCTCTTACAAGAGTCGCTTTCATTCATTCTTATGTCCTACTCTTTTACTTTTTGGATTTCTTGTGGACCAAAAAGGTGCTTGTGTCCTTTCCCTCTCTGCAGAGGGTGGGAGGTGGTACAGGGTCTCTGGACAGTGAACGTGGGGAACCCACCACACTGTCTTTAGCTGTGTGGCCTTTGGAGAAGACATTTCATCTTTCAGGCCCTCAGTTTCCCCATCCTTACCACACAGGAATTGAGCCAAATGATTGCTAAGGTCCCTTTCAGCGCCGACCTCCTCTGACCGAATGAGATAATGTGCGAAAGCACTTTGTAAACGCTAAAGCCGGACGAGTGCCAAGGATTATTATTACGATTCTAATCAATCCTCTTTTCTCCACATGGATCTTGGCTGTTTAGCGCCAGCAAACAGGCTAAAGAGGGCCGCAAGCAAGACAGCTTAGAGGAGCTGGGAAAGCTCTGTGCCGTGCACAGAAAAAACTCTGCCTCTCCAGAAACATTCTGTCTCTGTGTGCCCCCCGAGGCCTGGTGGGGAGGGGTGGGGAGGAGGAGGAGGCCTAACCTGGTAGGACCCATTTCAGTTCCCATGCAGGCAGGCAGGGAGTAGAATTCTTCCAAAGCATCGTTTGTCTCCCAGTGACTGACATAGGAACCTAATGTGAAGGCGATCTGCAATTGTTTTTTTCCAGGAAGAAAGGAAAGAGCAAGGTGTAGCTGATTAGCAAGTTAATTATTTCAGTACCCCAAGGGTTCCAGTGTGGTGGTAAGTTGTCCAGCCCTGGTGTAATTTCACAGTCCATGCATTTCCTGGGGAGCACCTGGGGTGGCTGGGTCTGTCTGTCTCTCCATCCACCTGCCTTATGTCTTTGTGACACACCTGGGGAGCTGAGCAGGGGCTGGGGGAGTAGATGGTGCCACATATATATTTGGCTCAGGTGGCAGGTGGAGGGCCAGACAGAGAACAAGGTAGAGGAAGCCTCTATCTCTACCAAGTGTTTAATTATCTGGCCCTTCGTTCTTCTTAAAAAAAAAATTCTGTTGAATAAATATTAATGAGGCAGGTTATCAGAAAGCGGAGTTACTGTGAGGTTATTTCCCCAGACTTGGCGTGGAAAGAAGTGGGGTTGGAGGGGCCCTTTTGCCTCTCACCCCACTCCTAGTCCTGGCCCACTCTTCAGTGCTCATATTTGCTTTCCCAGTTCTGGCCGCCACTTGGTCTGCGGTGGCTTCATCCAATCTCCCTTCAAGAGCTGATTTCCCCTTGGGGGAGGGGAGGGAGGGCTGTGTGGTCAAACGGACACCTCCGTCAGAGAGATAAGTTGGGGAGGTGAACATGAGCCTCAGAATTGGCAGCTTCTGCTTCTCCCTGCTCCCTAGGCTGGTAGGGCCAGCCCCCTGCTGCTCCTCCTGCGATGGACAGGGGCTCGACAGTTTACTTAAGAGTGGTCCCATCTGCTCAGACTGGCCTTTCATAAGGGGAGGGATTTATGCAGTGTCCTTGTGCACAGACCTGGGATTTGCTTGAAAACCCTGGGCCTCTGAGAATATTACTGAAAGCTGAAATGTTCAGCCACAGCGATGATTCATGAGTTGTCTGCATTCAATGGGGGTATGTGTGTGTGTGTGTGTGTGTATGTGTGTGTTGGGGAGGGGGCACACGCATTGATGGGTGCTTTTCCCCAGTCTTACTTCTAATCCAAACGTTAGGAAACTTTCTTTTTTCCTGTATTCACTCAGGAGACAGCCCACAGCACCTGGCTCTGGAGAGCCAACTTCCCGACTTCAGCGGTGTGAAGACGCGGTGATACTTTTTGGCGCCGGCAATCAAGCAGGTTGGCTGGTATCACTGCTGGCGGAGAGGGGCCGGGGGCTGTCTGGAAAGAGAGTTCTTATGACTGTTCTGCTGTGGGTGGCAGAGGATTTGAGGAGGGGGATGTCTAATCGCTGTTCCAATTAAGCTGGCTGTCTTTACCTCCCAGGCATCCGGGGTCTCAGCAGGAGGAAGTCAGAGAAACTGAGAACACAGGAAGGCAGGTGTAGCAAGTTCCTTGTCTCAATCTTGGTAGCACCAAGCCAAAATGAAGCCCAGAGATCCCAGAGAACAGGGCTTGGAGGTCCCGTATGGGATCTTGACCTCTTTTCATTGCCCAGTGGCTGGTAAGCGAGCATTTTCAGCTTATATGACCCTCATTGGTGGTTCTACCATTTTCTTGCTCATGTTCTAGTTTGGACCCTAGCCTCCACAGCTCTGGAGTTTTTCTTTTCTCACAGGCCATTCGTAATTTAGCCAGCGTTTTAGGCCATTGGTCAGCACATGTTCTGAATGGGGAGCCAGCAGGCCTGTACCTATGTGCAAAGTTGTTCTCATTTGGGCTCAAGGGAGGATATAGTTTCCCCTTAAAAAAAGAGAAGCAGGGAACCATTTCTATGAATCTTTTGATGAAGGATTTACTACCAATTTGATAAGTTCAATGCTCTTTTTACTCATTCTGAATGAATAACTTTGTCAGTCAACCCAAGGGTCTGCAGAACCTATAAAAATTCTTTCTTCAGCCTCCCTGTTTTAACACATGCTGGGGCTCCAGCCTGCCTCTGACAGACTGGGGAGGAGCAGAAACATTCCAGAGACCAGGACTTAGAGTGTTATCTCTCCCCCTACCCCAAATCCTCACTCTCCATTTTATCTCTCTTTACCACAAATGCAGAGACCTCCTAGGGACGTGTGAAGGGATGGGTTTTAATCAGGTTTGGGGAAGTAAGGGGCCTAAGTTGACCCCAAAGAAAGAGGGAAACCATTGGAATTTCTCAATGATGCCCCGCTGTTACATCTCTCATGTGTTGTATATTGCATCCCACAGAGTATGCATTTGTGGCAGTAATCTACAGTGTATACCTACGGTGTATAGGTTAGCATTTCCCAAATGCTGCTTGGCCGAAACAGTGTTAAATAAAATTGTAAGAAATTCTACCAGGGCCTTGCATGGCTTATTTAACTCTATCAATGATACACAATGTTAGTGTGTAGCATCTTAGTTGGCACAATATCACGTTTCATTTCTATATGCCAGATATATTTAAGCATAAGAGATACCATTTTTGCATACATTTATTTCCTGGTGATTCCCTAGGAGAAATGTGATGGAAACGGCAGAAACCTTTTCTCTCTCCACATAAACTTGTACCCCGAACACACAGATCGCCGGTCACATGCACTCACACGGCCGGCTGTCCCCTTACGCATTGTTATAAACAAGCCTCCACTGGTAAATGGAAATGTAGATTCCGTGAGTGTAGGTCCAGCTTTATGCACACGTGCACAATTATGGACACATATACCAGCATTTTAGAACCTCTGCTACATTTACACATATTTCCTCACACACCTACATTGCTGCGTAGACGGGTGCTGATGGAAATGTGTGTTCCCACATGTAGATATTTACACGTGCACATGTAAGTGGTCTCACTGTGAGAGCCCATGTGCTGGAGAATCCTCTATACGGGCTCCTATGTGAGTGTGCATCTATGTGCACGTGACGTTTGCACACACACACTCCTATGCCCCTGCTCTTGGGTATACACTCCAACACTCCATGTGGCCAAGGTGCCACAGATGCCCTGTTCCCCCTCCCAGGCTCCAGACCTGGCGGACAGTGTTTGAATTGGATGTTTGCCCTGGATGAGCCCTGAGGCCTTCGGGTTGGGGGTCCAGGAGGAGCAGGGTCAGGGTCAAGATGCCAGCTTGCCTGGCCTCTGGTGAAAATAATATGAAAGTGTGGGAATAGGAGGAAGGGTTGGCTAGCTGGTCTCTGCAGATGCCGCCAAAAGAAAATCAATCTTTTATTTGCTCATTTAACAAATGAGACAGGAGACCTGATTGGCTTCTGTGGTTCTGGTTCTGCTGCCAGTGATGCTGTGTGAGCCTTAGGTAACCTGCTCTCTGAGCCTCAGTTTCTACATCTGTTAAGTGAAGTATTGGCCTAGACTAGTGGTTCTCAACCCAGTAGAATCATCTGGGGAGCTTTTTAAAAATACAGACACCTGGCCTCCACCCCAGACCAACTAGATCAGAATCTCTGGAGGTGGGTACCTGGCATTTCATTTTTTTAAAGTGCCCCAGGCAATTCTCTATTCCACCAACATTGAGATCCACTGACCTAGATGTTCTCCAAGGCTCTTCTAGCCCCCAAACTCTATGCCACGGAAGCCCTTTTATTTATAAAGCACCATGCTGGACATGAGGGTACTCTGCCAAAAGTTCTAATTCACTTGTATAAGATCGTAAAAAGCCATTAAAATGATTCTTCTTTCAGTTCAGGAAGAGGATAATTTTTTGAACAAACTATATTTATGCTGGAAAAACTCAACACCTGAGTTTCCAGCTCTTTGTTCCCTTCCATCTTTGTCCCAATCTGTCTATTAATTATATGCCATCGATGCAGATACTATAAGTGGGTCCCTGATAAATGTGATCAATACCTTGCTAACTGCACATATTTCCTGTCTAGCTCCTCACCCAGCCTGCCGGGGGAGCGGGGTATTTTTAGTAGGGTAAATGAGGAGGCACAGGCCTCCAGGGGAAAGCCTCTCCCTCCCCCAGCCCCGAGGCAGAGAACACCAGCCCCTAGGCCCGCGCCCCAGTTCCGGAGGCTGGTGCGCCAGCTGAAGAAAAGCCTTGAGCTGAGTGTCCTAGAAAGCTGCTCTCAGACTTGGGCTTTTGGGAATCCTACCTTAATATTTTCTAACGACAGTTCCCCAGGCAGAGCCGGTCCCTCTTGAAAACAAATCTGCTTGCAGCCGCTCCTGCTGGAAGAGGCTGAGTCTGGCTGAGGCGTCTCACCCACGTGGCAAGCGGAAGGCAGAGCTGAGGCGACGTGGGCTGCCGCCCGTGGGCCCCTTTCTCCCTCATGGGGGGATGCTTAACAGAGTGTGCGGGGAGGGAGCCCCGCCCTTCACCTGTGTGGGAGGAAGGGGCAGGGGTTCGTTCTGGATGCACAGCTCCTGCGCCTCCATCACTGTTCTCATTCACTGACATTGGGGTTCAGGGTCTCCCAGGGAGACTCAGAGCGGAGTCTGGTTCTCTCGTTCGTTCCCACTCTCTCCCTCTCTCTGTAGCTCTGCTAGCTGGCCCAGGAGGCAGGCCAGGCTGGCTTAATTTTCTCCTGAAAGCGTTTGGACTAGTTTTCTTCCTTAGGAAGTTTGTCCCAACGTGGCTACTGTTGCTCTACTCTCCAGGTGAGCACTGGAGGTAGTGATGGGCCTTGAGATTCCTGTGGCTGGGGCTCGAACCCTCTCGTCCTTGCATGCTCACTATTTCTCCGGTTGCCTCTTTATTTTTCCCCCTCTCGCTCACTTTATCTTCTTTCATTTTCTCCCCTGATGACATGCGAAATCCAATCTCGGACCCCAAGGGGGTCTGCACAGAGTGGGGCATCACAGTGGACATCTTGGGTCATGCCCAGTCCATCTCCCCGCCTTCCCTTGCAGGGAGGCCAAACTTAGTCCCAAGAAGGGGACTCCGGACACAGCACAGGATTCTTGGATCTTGAATCTAGATCCAGAGCCCGGCTTCCCACGCCTGTGCCCCTTCCCAGGGCCCACCTCCCCTTAGGCCTGGGGAGCATCACACCCCAGGATGTGATGGATTTCCCCAGGCACCTTCAAAGGGTTCCATGTTTGTTTGCAAGGCGGACCTTGAATCCTGCTCTGGTCATAAATGTTGTTTATTTTGACTAGGACCTACTGAAAGGGGCCTGGGCGTTAGGGAGGGCAAAGAGAGGATTCCGTAGGGAAGATCATAAAACCATTAGCAGGGCAGGGCTTTTAAGGGTCACAGGATCATAGAATTTTCTGGCTGGAAAGAACACAGGCCATCAGGAAGGTCAGAGAAGACCACTTTGTCAGCGAAAGGCCTCTAGGGCCACACGGGGCTAGGGTGGACAGCTTTGGGCCTCTTTCTAGAAAGTGGACACGGGGCATGGGGGCATGACCCCCCAATAACCTTACACCAGGCGGGGGAGGCCAACAGTCACTGAACATGATGGATTTGCCCTCCCAGTGGGAAGAAGCAGTTGCTTGAATGTGCACAGGAGCCTCTTGTTCTGGGCAGTGGGCACAGCTCTGGGTAAAGGACATAAAATCACCTCCAATTCTGCTCCAATCATTATTCTGAGCAGCCAGCATATACCAGGGGCTATCCCTGATGCTCTTCTGATACCTTCAAAATAATTCTGAAAGAGATGTTATCTCCATTTTGCAGATAAGACAGTCGAAGCTCAGAGAGGGGAGCTGGTTTGCCCAAGGTCACACAGCAAGTTAGTGGTAAGGCTGGGACTAGACCTTAAGACTTCAGATTCTTTAAACCTAATCTCTTTTCCATCCCCCATTCCCTCCCTTCCCTTCCACCATCTGCCATGGTCTGGTCCCCTGTGGCCTCAGAGATGGAATGGGAACAGGGCTCCCTTCCCTTTAAAGCTGATGTTAGGGCAGAGGGAAGCTCACTTCTCGTAAGGGAGAAAAGCAGTCTTGGGCTCCTTCCAGTCCCTGGCATATACCTGGCTCCCTTTACAAACATGCTCTCATAAATCAGTCAGGAAACATCTTGGTTGCCCTTTACTTGCTGTGTGACTTAAAGCAAATCACTTCACCTCTCTGAGCCGTACTTCTGGACCCCCTGAGCTCCTCTTTGGTGTAATGGCTCTAGGGGACAGGGGGAGATGAGACTTGGTTTTGCCCCCAAGGCTGACTCAGATCACAAAAGAGACACTCAAAGCAGGCAAGGCAAGGCTTGCGAAGATCCCTGCTGAGAAGGCAGAAGGCCTAGAGCCAGGGCAGAGGCTGGGCGGTGAAGAGGCAGCTTAAGCAGTGAGTTCTTCCCTGATCCCCTGACTGTGAAATCCAGTTGCTCAGAGAATGGAAAATCCCCTTCTTCTCCCCCAACCCCTCCTCCACAAAGGCCTTCTAATAGGCCTGCCAGCTTTGGGGTGCTAATCTGCTCAGACATCACTCTGGGAGCAGGTTTCCTGGGGTCCCCATCCCAGCATCCCCTCAGTGGGAGATGGGGAAGGCTGGTGGGGAAGCAGGGGTCCCAGGACTTGAGGGGAGGTGTCCTGCTGCCTGACCTGCCCCAAGGATGAGGGAAACTCATATAGTGGGCCCCTGTGAGAAGGTACTTCAGGGATGGGGATGGGGTGGGGCTGGGGAGCACAGGACTGGATGGAGGTGGGCAGGAGGGCTGGGTCCTGGGGCAGAGGTGCCTTGGGTGGGCTTATTATTAAACAGCCCCATTATTTCACCCACCACACTCCTTTCATTTTTATTTGAAGACAGCTCCCTCCCCAGCACCTTCACCTCCCCACCCCCTACACTTTCACTCATCCATCCACTGAGCCGCTGACAGCTGCCCTGCGGGTGAACTCCAGTCCTCCTGTGGCTGGAAAGATACTGGGGGGGGGGCGCTTAGGCCAGAGCATGCCCCCTTCCAGACCCCACCACCCCCTCCATACATACTCACTCCCTCAAAATAGTGCCACCTTGGTCCTCCTGTATCAGACCCAGATGAAGGAGGTGAGGGAGGTGAAGGAGCCAGGAGGAGGTGAAAAAGGAAGAAATGGTGATGGGATGTGGAGAAAGGAGATGAAGGAAAAATAAAACAGAGAAGCAGGAGGGAAAGAGGAAAAGGGAGGACATGGAGGAGAAGAGAGAGGGGAAGAAATCAAGACCAATGAGAAGGTGGAAAAGGAGGAGGAGAAGTGAAGGAAGGATGAAAGGAGGGAGGGCAGGGGCTGGAAGATTGGGAGGCATCACCGTGAATGGCGGAAGATGCTGAGGGCAGGGGAAAGACGGCAGGGTTGAGGGATGGGGCAGGGGTGGGGGCTGCATAGGCAGGAGGAAGCCAGGGGGTCTCTCCAGGGGTGAGGGAGGCGGCTGGCTGGAGCCTCGCCCACCCAGCTCCCACCTCTGGGTGAA